ATTTCATTATTTCATTTCATTATTTCATTTCATTTCATTATTTTATTTCATTTCATTATTTTATTTCATTTCATTATTTTATTTCATTTCATTATTTTATTTCATTTCATTATTTTATTTCATTTCATTATTTTATTTTATTTCATTATTTCATTTCATTTCATTATTTCATTTCATTATTTCATTTCATTATTTCATTTCATTATTTCATTTCATTATTTCATTTCATTATTTCATTTCATTATTTCATTTCATTTCATTATTTTATTTCATTTCATTATTTTATTTCATTCGGATTACTTTTGATAAAGTGAATGAAGCCAAATAGTCAAGTTTAGTATATGAAATTTTAACGTGTTAGACCTTCGATTCAAAGTCAATTTTTTTTTTTTAAAAATCAAAAGATCTCCTTTTAGTTTCACGTTTTTCGAAGTTAAGTTTCTTTATTAAAATATACATTAACTTGACATGTACAAAATGGTCTGTTGAAATTACAAGCCCCCCCCCCCCATAACCACTTGTCAAGATGAAAGAAATATGAGGTCACTGATGTTACCAAATAAAATTCCCGATAACTGCGCTAAATGAGAGTCTTTGTTTAAAAAAATATCGCACGTGCGTTTGGTGCGTAATATTGTATTTTGTTTTTTTTCTGAATAATTGTTGAAATAATAAATCTGATTTTTAAAAATCGGGTGAGCCATTAGAATATCAATATAATTAAGGGGGCCCGAAAAAAATGTGCATTTGTGAGCCTTGGGGGAGTGGGAGCTCTATTCTCATAAAGTGCGTTAATTATTTTCGTTTCTTGTCAATTTTGCCCCCCATTCTTGCTCGATATAACATTGTATATAAGATTTATACGAAAACTCAATTTTTTAGGGGTTCTTTGGTTCCTTCTTGATTTCGCATCCGTCCGTCTCGATCAGAAGACGGTGAAATATTTTCAGGAAGAAATAAAAAGGCGTGGGATCTTGGGAAACTAAAAGCTGGTGAGCCCAAGGGAACATCAAGTGTTTCCAAACTTTGCATTTTTCAATGTCATATGAGACTTCAACTCAGAATTTATATACTTTGGTTGCCATCCTTACTCATGGCAAGACAGTGAAGGTTTAAGACCAGTGTGTTCTTCCTAAAGACTTCAAGTGTCCCATTAGTGTCAGAAGTTCCAAATCTAAAACCTTTCTTACCACCAAAAGGTATTTTACTACCCATTTAACAAAAAAACATCAACATTTAATAACTCCATCGCTCCACACAACGACCCTCCACATTCCCCCACACATATATATTCCCTCCAAATGCCATTATTTTTCTCCTTCATATTCTCTTTCATATTCACCTTCATTTTCCCCATTTTTCCCTTTCATATTCACCTTCATTTTCCCCATTTTTCCCTTTCATATTCACCTTCATTTTCCCCATTTTTCCCTTTCATATTCACCTTCATTTTCCCCATTTTTCCCTTTCATATTTCCCTTCATTTTCCCCATTTTTCCCTTTCATATTCACCTTCATTCTCGACTTCATATTCCCTTTTATATCTATTATAATCCCTCCATATTCCAGTTACTATCCCTCTTCATGTTCAACTATTTCCATTCATATTCCTCTCCATGTTTGCCAACTGAACTAAAGCTACACCAAATATATTTAAATTATCCCCCCCTCACCTTATTCCGGATTCCCTCCATGAAAACGCCTTCCCTACAACCCGAATATGCCATCTCCCCCATCACCTTCGAACCAACGTTTCCATCTAATCATCCCAATCTCTCTTCTAAATCCCGATCTCCTCTCCACAATCACATGCATCATCGGTCCCGGGCAAAACCACTCCAGATTTTCTTTATCAAGGGCAACCTCTTCCTTTACACTCTATTCCTTACCACATTTCGACATCGCACGTAACCAATTTTACAATGGCCTTAATTAAGAGCAATAATTTTAGTATGTTAGTTTAATTTAAGTGTAAAAATCTTAAATGATTGGCCATATAAACGGGGTGGAGAAATATCTAAAGGAGGAGATGAGACACACACAAAAGTGAACGTTTAGGCTAACACAATGAAAACAGCAACTACAGCTTGTGTAGACATTGAGTCCTTTAAATTGAGTTTTAATGTCACAAAATTTCTATAGTTAGGGAAGTTACGCTACCATCAACTGGTTATTGTGGGTCATATATTATGCTTATTGGAGTTTTTCATGATTTCTCAACTTTCCATAGCCCTCCACCCCCCCCCTCCCCCAACTTTACAACATATGCCCAATTTTTCTCCCGATCCAAATACTTTACACCACAAACTCTTACTTACCTGCCAACCCACAACTTACTCTCAGAAGTCAGCTTGATCCTATCAAAATTGTTCTTAATTTACTCTGAAGCTAATAGTCATTTAAAACTCAAACCTCCATTCAACATTCCTCCAAAGCTCAGATCCCTGCCCTAAACTCAATTTCAACACATAATTTCCTAAGAGTCATGCATTTTTAATAAAGAAGATTAAACTCAATTAATTTTTTTTTACAATTTCATCGAGACTGGAAGGGAAAAAATGATTTTTTTTTTAAAATAATTTTAAATAGAAAGGGTAAGGGTAAAACCATATAACTGTACGTAATAAGGAAGGGGTGTATGTAGGTGGAGAGGTAGTGATAACGAGGGTAAGTGAAAGATGTTAGCCTCAGACACATGAGCAGGGTTGGCGCTTTCAGAATAAAGAAGGGCTGGGTGGGAACATGGAGGTCAGTGGCATGGAATAGATGAGATGGTCATGTTGTGAAATTGTAAATTCTTTGAAATAAGAAAACACACAAAAAGATCGATAATACAAGAACATTTATGAGTACATTGATACGTAAATGACTTATACTTATGATAATTAGTATTGACGAAACATAATATTAAAAAAAAAACTTTAAACATTAAGTCTCTTGCTGTAACAACAGAACTGATATTTGGTATAGGGCAGGCCGATATTGTGAAATAGGGGTAGAGATTGGGATAGAGGCGGGTAGCATAGACTAAATCTGTTGTCCTTAAAAAGGAGTGAAAATGATGGCTATAAAAGGGTAAATGAAGTCGAGTATGAAGGTGGGCATGAAGGGGAAAATAAAAGGGGAAAAGGAGAAATATGAAGGGGAATATAAAGAGTAATATGAAACAGAAAATGAAGGAGAAAAGGAAGGGTGTTTGAAAGAGAAAATATAGAGGGAAATGGAGGGTCATTGTATTAAGTGTTGAGGTTTTAGTGTTAGATGGGTAGTAAAATACGCTGTTGTAAAAATGATATTAACCGCACAAGTTCTTTTCACGCTCCTGAACTGTATAAATATTCTAATAAAGTACCCGCTTTTACTCCACAGATTTATGTCACCAATAATTTCAGAAAAACAAAAGAAAATATTACATACTAAACGAAATTACCAAATTTTTTTTTAAAATCTCATTTAGCGCAGTTATCGGGAATTTTATTTCGTGATATCAGTGTCATCACATTTCGTTCATCTGTCCCTTGAAAATAGGTGTGGGGGGGGGGGTTGGGGCTGAAAATTTCAACGCACAATTTTCTAAGAGTCATGCATTTTTAATAAAGAAGATTAACCTCAACATTTTTTTTTACAATTTCATCGAAACTGGAAGGGGAGAAAATGATTTTTTTAAAGTAATCTAAATAGAAATGGTAAGGATCGTCAATTAATTATGTCAACAAAATGTAGGTGGATGGGGGTTTGGAAATGTTTGACAATTGTTGACAAGGGGGATGTGGGTAGATTAGTTGACGTCTACAATCATGTTTTCTCTATTAAAATTTTAATCTTAAAAATTTACTGGTTATTACTGCTGAGAGAGTTGCATTGTCTGCCGGTCCGCGCTCGCATAGAGTACAAAATTGCAACTCTGTGCTACCGCTGCTTGCATGACCTGGCGCCGTCCTATCTTAAACCGCTCATGACGCCTTATGTACCCACTAGACAACTCTGCTCATCTGATAGTGGCAAACTCTCGATACCACGTGTTCGCCTTGAAACTTAAGGAAGGCGCACTTTCGCATTTGCAGGCCGAACAATTTGGAACACCTTTCCTGTCGCTCTCAGAAACAGCCAGACACTGGAGTCTTTCAAAATCGAATTGAAAACACATATATTTCACAAACACCTGCTGGGGTGATGTTGCTTACCATCTTTTCCAGCTAGCTATTATCTTCTAGATATATATTGGCCTGTGTTGTTTATGTTTGTAAGGGGTGAAAGAAGCAGAAGGGGTATTCTCGTATGTAGTTTTTGTAATGTTGCGTTTTGTATTTCAATGTGGTATAATATAGATTTGTTTTCATTTCTCTTTTAATGTGATTGACTACCGCGCTTCGAGCCTTTGGGGATGAAGTGTGATTTTCAAATAAGCTTTATTATTATTATTATTATTATTTTAACAAATTTAATGAGTGTAAATTAAAATAGTTATATAATTTTTAGGCTTTTAAAAATATAAGAATTATTTAATGTGTCTGTCTGTGCACTGCTGATGGATGGTCAGAATGTTAGCACACTTTGTTAGTGCATGAGAATTCAAAAGTTGGCCTCTTTCGCCTGTAGATTCTGTTTGTCGCAAATGACTAGGGTGGTATGTTTGCGATTATGTTGCGATTATCGAACAAGGAAAAGTTTCAAGTGTCATGTGCAGTCAAGATAAATTAAAAATAATTCGAGATAATCTGTGAATTACGATAAAATCCACTATTAAAAAAGAGACCTCACTTAGGCTGTGAACAAATAAAAAAAAATTCTGCTCACATGTTACTCTTCAGGATAATCTGATTCATCCGAAATACAACGTCCAGGTCACTGGTCAACTTATGGAACTGAACAGCTACACAGTTAAGTATAAATTTGTTTTTTTTTTTTAAATAAGACACTGGCAAAAAAAAACTCAATCATGTTTGGTTCTTTTTTCTTTAAATGTTTATTTCAAGACAAACAACGTGACGTAATGATGGAACACTAATCCGTTGAATTACCTCCCCTAAGTTGTTTAGTGTAGGTCAAAGGTCATCGGTTGGCAACGAATATGTTATTTGCCATAGGTGTTTCCGATGCAAATCCCCCAGAAACTTACTCCGTTACAACCTCGCTTGACCCGTCCTGCAAGAGGGAAAACCAGCTTAACAAATAAGCGTATCAATACATAGTTAGATGGTGTCATTATAAGTGTGTTGGTGTATCAATACATAGTTAGATGGTGTCTTTAAAAGTGTGTTGGTGTATCAATACATAGTTAGATGGTGCCTTTAAAAGTGTGTTGGTATCAATGCATAGCTAGATGGTGTCTTTAAAAGTGTGTTGGTATCAATACATAGTTAGATGGTGTCTTTAAAAGTGTGTTGGTGTATCAATACATAGTTAGATGGTGCCTTTAAAGTGTGTTGGTTTATCAATACATAGTTAGATGGTGTCTTTATAAGTGTGTTGGTATCAATACATATTTAGATGGTGTCTTTATAAGTGTGTTGGTGTATCAATACATATTTAGATGGTGTCTTTATAAGTGTGTTGGTGTATCAATACATATTTCGAGGGTGTCTTTATAAGTGTGTTGGTGTATCAATACATAGTTAGATGGTGCCTTTATAAGTGTGTTGGTGTATCAATACATAGTTATATGGTGCCTTTATAAGTGTGTTGGTGTATCAATACATATTTAGATGGTGTCTTTATAAGTGTGTTGGTGTATCAATACATATTTAGATGGTGTCTTTATAAGTTTGTTGGTGTATCAATACATATTTAGAGGGTGTCTTTATAAGTGTGTTGGTGTATCAATACATATTTAGATGGTGTCTTTATAAGTGTGTTGGTGTATCAATACATAGTTAGATGGTGCCTTTATAAGTGTGTTGGTGTATCAATACATAGTTAGATGGTGCCTTTATAAGTGTGTTGGTGTATCCATACATATTTAGATGGTGTCTTTATAAGTTTGTTGGTGTATCAATACATATTTAGATGGTGTCTTTATAAGTGTGTTGGTATCAATACATATTTAGATGGTGTCTTTATAAGTGTGTTGGTGTATCAATACATATTTAGATGGTGTCTTTATAAGTGTGTTGGTGTATCAATACATAGTTAGATGGTGTCTTTATAAGTGTGTTGGTGTATCAATACATATTTAGATGGTGTCTTTATAAGTGTGTTGGTGTATCAATACATATTTAGATGGTGTCTTTATAAGTGTGTTGGTGTATCAATACATAGTTAGATGGTGCCTTTATAAGTGTGTTGGTGTATCAATACATATTTATATGGTGTCTTTATAAGTGTCTTGGTGTATCAATACATATTTAGAGGGTGTCTTTATAAGTGTGTTGGTGTATCAATACATAGTTAGATGGTGTCTTTATAAGTGTGTTGGTGTATCAATAAATATTTAGAAGGTGTCAACGTAAGTGTGTTTTCAAATGACAGTGATAGTCTAATGACATGAATCAAACTTTTGTTTTCATTTAACATTTTTAAATCATAAACTGTCTATTAAACTTGAGTTTCTGGCCTTAGTCATAAACTGTCTGATAAACTTGAGTTTCTGGCCTTAGTCATAAACTGTCTGATAAACTTGAGTTTCTGGCCTTGATTTACTGGCCTTAGTCATAAACTGTCTGATAAACTTGAGTTTCTGGCCTTAGTCATAAACTGTCTGATAAACTTGAGTTAATGGCCTTAGTCATAAACTGTCTGATAAACTTGAGTTTCTGGCCTTAGTCATAAACTGTCTGATAAACTTGAGTTTCTGGCCTTAGTCATAAACTGTCTGATAAACTTGAGTTACTGGCCTTAGTCATAAACTGTCTGATAAACTTGAGTTACTGGCCTTAGTTATAAACTATCTAAAAAACTTGAATTACTGACCTTAGTCATAAACTTACTGATAAACTTAAGTTACTAGCCTTAGTCATAAACTCTGTTCAACTTGGGTTACTGGCCTTGGTCATAAAATGTCTGATAAACTTGAGTTACTTACCTTAGTCATAAATTGTCTGATAAACTTGAGTTACCGGCCCTAGTCTTAACCGTATGATTAACTTTAGTTGCTGGCCTAAGTAATAAACTGTCTGATTACCCTTAAGTTACCGGCCCTAGGCTTAGACTGTCTGATAAACTTGAGTTACTGGCCTTAGTCATAAACTGTCTGATGAACAGGTTCAACGCGTCAAACGAAGATAGTGGAATTCTTGCGTGGCTCCCACGTGGCATTTAATGACTGCTTTGATAATCTCCCTTACTTTATCAAGGCTATAAAAGGGGATAGACTGCAATCAGGTTAGGTAAAATAAACATTTCGATGCAATGGGGTATTCGAGAGATTCTCTGTGACACTACATTGTAGGCTATTGCTTTTATTTTCTTCTTTTTTTTTAATCGGGGTGGAAAGGGGGGGGGGGTTACACTGAAGAACTCTTCGATGTTTTGTTGCGTCTTTTCTCAAAATTTGCCAACATTAGTTTCGCGTATTTCCTGCTTATCAATCTGACATATTTAACCGGCTAATGGGGACGTAGCATAAAGGAAACGATTAAAACAGTTTTATGTTCTAATTCTGCTCGGTAAATTAATCCTTCAGTTCCCCTGTTAAGTGATCCTCCACTGTCTCTACAGCCAAACCTACACAAGAATGTCAGATCAAGACTTTAGTTCACAATTATTCACGCTTAGACACATATTCCGTTGATATTGCTTACCAGCGCTCTCAATAATCTTCTCTCTCTGGCTTAGGTCAAAACTTATTTGGTCTTCACCTGAAAAAAAATGTATATATCTATTTTATTTTCAGTGAGGCATAAAGTCTAAGTGGTGAGTCATATTGTGGTTAAAATAAAGAGCGCATGGTGAAACCCTCCAAATGGTTAAATTTAGGTGCACCCCCTCCCCAAATTGTTAAATTGAAGTGAAATCTCGGAAGTAGATATTTTAACAAAAACCAGTCAAAGAATTTCAAGACTGAACACAGTATTTACAGTACAGTAACTCAAAACAAAGTTCCATTTATTTGAAAAAATAAGAGCATCTTATTTTAGCTTATCTTTAAAAAAAAAAAAGTGGCTTTCGTCATAAATATATGTTCAGATTTATGTTTATACCAGAAATTATTGTAAAATTACGGGGGGGGGGGGAGGGGGGGGGGGGGGGGGGGATATGCCAAGACGTTAAGTGATAGAATATTTCCTTCCTTTGTATCTTACCAAGAAATTGGATGCTCTCCAGAATAGCCTGACCCGTGGCCTTGACGACAACTGCAGCTTTGTAAAGTTTTTCCTCGTCATCTGAGCATAATGATATTGACAGTATGAAGGTTAATGGCTATGGGTGTCTTGAGCAGGGGAAAAGGGGGGAAAAGTTGAGGTTGGGGTGGAGGTGGGGTAGCGAAAAACAATTTGGGGGTGAGTGGGTGAGTTTTACAAAATAATAACACGAATTGTGTTTAGTTTGTTTTTTTTTTAAAGGTGTCATATTTTGTTAAACTTTTCCTTCTGCACGATCTAGTTGTACAACGATGTAACAGTTTTACCTTGCCACTACAAGAACAACCGTAATGGCACAGCCTGGACTTTTTTTTAAATGTTCGGATTAACGCTAGTGGGGGGGGGGGGCCTAAATTTTATTTTTATTAAAGTTTCCGCACATATCTTGTTCAACATCTTAAATGACATTTGACCTAATCCAGATCTGTTAATCCTCGATTAAACAAATCCGGAAATATTTGTCGATATGTTATCGATCTTCGGCAGAGAGCATTCTAAGGAACATCAAGAAATAATGGAAGTGTCTAGAAAATAATACTACAAACTTTTAAAAATCTATAAAATCACTAAAAACACAATAAACTGATGCTTATACATCTTTCTTATTTAAATCCTACTACGATTTCATTTACAACCACTCAGATTACATTTACTTCTACTAAAATTACTTTTACTTCTACTAAAATTACTTTTAGTCCTACTCAAATTACTTTTACTCCTTGTCAAATTACTTATACTCAAATTGCTTTTACTCCTACTAAAATTACCTTTATTTCTACTCTCATTGCTTTATTATTTCCACAGGACGTCACATTGAGTTTAAGGTTAGGCGAACGCATTTTAAAAGACTTTTTAAATAGTGAACTCCTATATAAATCACGTTACAATGAGAATTTGCTTCCCACGAAAAGTATGACATGAGTGATAAGTTGAAATCTATGACGTTCAACACTTTAAACATGATCTTTAAGTTATTGTTTATTCCCAAGCTACTGTCTAACACTAATACATAATTTATTACCTGCTAGCAAAGTGAAGTCGTTGGCAAGATCTGACAACAAAATGATGGCACGTGACAGCTCCCACATTCTGGACGATAGTTTGCCTGGAAATAGGTCAAGCAAAATCAAAAGTTAGTCCTAGGTTCCTGGGATAACAGTCACTCTTCGCTTCAAGGAGATTTCAAATAAAACATTAATACAAATTTTAATATGAGAAATCTTAAATAAAAGTAAATATTGTGTATTGGAATAAAGAAACAACTAATATACTGCTAACTATTAATAAAATGAAATTAATCTAAAGTTCAACGAATCACCTTTATAATAGTAAAAAAAAAAAAAAAATTAATATTGATTTTTCTTTAAATTTATTTGTTGTGATCCTTTCAATGGCAAATACATTTTAATGGTAGATTAGTTCACGTTGGTTCATGAAAATTTAAACCAAGTTATCAGACAGGGGGATAATAGTTGACAATAATATTTTCATGACTTTACAATATTTTAGATGAACCTTTGTAAGCAAGAAAATCTAGGGAGAATTACAATTAACCTGCACAGCTTGATTGGGTATGGTATCTGGGCTTTTGTAATCTGGGATTTGGTAATCTGGATATTGGTTATCTAACTGGGTTTTGGTAATATGGGCTTTTGTAATGTGGGCTTTGGTAAACTGTTCATTTTTCAGTGATTGTGTCGTGTTTACACTTGGCTTTAAATTGTAACATTTGTCATCTGACTTGTAGGCTACAGTAATGCATCTGTTTGTATAGAAGATACCATTGGTTTTTTCTTAGATACCGTTACCATATAGCTGAAGGTTAAGTTGCACTTTAGCTGTTGGCTTTTATATGATGTGAGAACTGTTTGTGTTGAGTCTACTGTTAATTTTGGAATTTCATTCAAAACAAATTACTATCCGCTATATACACGACAACGACTTAAGTGATGTTTTAAATGAGTTCAGCTGTGAGTGTTATGAAATGAACAACGACATTATTGAATATCAGAAGCAAAAAACTAACAGCACTCTCTATCATTGAAAAACAAAATAATGACAATAATTATAATTATAATAATTGTCCATGCCGTAAAAATAAAAGATGGAAAATGTTAACTTTGATAAATGTTTCGACTTGAAATTTAATTGTTGACTTGTTTATTGCTTTGTTAAAAGTATTAATTTCATACGTATGTTTTACAAGTAACACGGCATTACTCTGTTACGGTTATCCTCAATGACTAACTAAGGGGAGATCACCATAGGGGACATTGGAAATATGCGCTTCCCTTTGTACTACATCAAAAAAGTTGACATTCTTTGGTCAAGGTCAACAAATCAAAGCGTCTGTGTCAATACAAAGTCACAAGGTGTGTTGGTTTGAAGGGGAGTGTAGCAGTTATCCAAAGAAAGATGTCAACTATAGTGGACGTTAACTGTCGTTACAAATTTCAGCTATTTCAACTTAGATGTGCAAATAGAAATTTACTATGATAAATAATAAGGTAACTAAACCTAGATATTTTATATTTATCGATACTACGGTATGATTTTGAATGAGCTGGATCAGAGAAGGTCAACTATTAAAAAGATATGTAATCAGGATGATAAAAAATGTTAAGTGTCCTGTCGTTGCGTGGTTCTTGGTGGTTAAAAAAAATGTTAACCTCACCTGTCTTTGCGTGGTTCTTGATGGTTTTAATGGTAGCTGAGATGACTTCGTCAACCTGACTTTTGTCAGCTGGGGAAGTATGTGAGAGTTTGAAATAGAATGTGCACAGAGTTCATTCAATAACACAATAATAGATAGTCGTATAAACAATACGAAGCAAGGCTGGTGTACAGGATATTCTTGTTCTTTAACATTGAGTCAATATTCGTTCTTCTGGAATGAGAGCAACATCAAAAAATGGTAATACCTCACAAAGTGCAAGCCAAAAAAATGTAAAGTTATAATGTGAGTCTTTGCAGAGTCGACCAAGTTCCTGGACTTACAAGTACCAATGCATTTTAAAAAGCAAACCTACCATTGGCTCCAGGGCTTGCTATAATGACGTCAGCTAGAGCAATGATGTCAGTGATGGCCTTGCTTAAATCACTAGTGGGCACACCTGACAAGATAAGTCATATGTTGTGTTGGTTGTAATTGTCGGACATGATAAGCCTTGACATAATTTTGACTATCATAGCTACACAAATTAATATATGAGATGAATTGAATGATGTAGAGTGCATTCCGACTGGGGCGTAATGAATAATTAGATTACTATAGTTAAATCCGTTGCCGACTTGACTCCGTGACTTTTACTTACATATATTTAAGGACAAACAAATATTTTGCGGAGATGCATTTAATTGTATACTCGATCTGTTATAGTGGACAGTACCGGAAGCATAGACCACCAAGATAGACCGTTGTGCATAAACGGTTTTAGGACTGAGTGTTTACTGTGTGTAACCAAGAAGATTCGCTCCAAGAAATCAAATTGCTAATTGTATGCTGTATAAAGTTATTATTTTATTAACTTATTTTTCTAAAAAATAATAAATACATAGCACTTTCAAAAACAGAGTAAAAATAATTAAATAGCCATATGGCGTTTATGCCACTATCAAGTACTTGACGCTGTTTCGTATGACGCACATTTCTTTATGACCGTTAGTTTGCTGTATGGCATTCTAAGTTTTTGATTGACAGTTCTAGCGAATAGTTTTTGATTGACAGTTCTAAGGAATAGTTTTTGATTGACAGATCTAAGGAACAGTTTTTGATTGACAGTTCTAAGGAAAAGTTTTTGATTGATAGTTCTAAGGAATAGTTTTTGATTGACAGCTCTAAGGAATAGTTTTTGATTGACAGTTCTAAGAAATAGTTTTTGATTGACAATTCTAAGGAATAGTTTTTGATTGACAGTTCTAAGGAATAGTTTTTGATTGACAATTCTAAGTAATAGTTTGTGATTGACAGTTCTAAGGAATAGTTTTTGATTGACAGTTCTAATGAATAGTTTTTGATTGACAGTTCTAAGGAATAGTTTTTGTTTGACAGTTCTATTTAAAGAGTGTATAACGTTAATTCATGATGATTGAAACTGACACAATTCTCGAATGTTCAGCATCGTTTATTTAATTTGTTTCTACATTACTTTATTTTTATTTATGTTTTTTAAACCATTGAATGCTATAATTGCTGATGGTCTTAGAAATTTTTACCTTTGCCGAGGTTGGCGACAGTTGCCTTTAAATTGTTTACCAACAAGCTGACGTCACTCTTCTCTTGTCTCTGTTGTAATAGTCAACAAATTTAATGGTAGATATCTAACATTCATTTGTTTATTTTATTTTACAACATATTTACTGATTGTGAATATGGAAGCATATCAATATCGTCATTTAATTTCAAATGTATATTATTGTTTACTGAAATATCAATCCCGAAACGTGTAGATTTCTTATACATACATTACATCTACATTTTTGTCTGAGTTTCAATATCTCTGGATCAAAGAATGTTCCAGTTTTAAGTCTAAGTACAAGCTTAGTCTAAATGGAAATTTCGTGATATCAATTAGTCTGGATATTAAATTTCTAAAACTTGATAGCCAGTAGGTGGTCATCTTGAAATTTTATAGTGGTCAACTTGTTTGAAAATAACTGTTTTTTTAAAGAGGTATACATTTTCAATTGAGTTGGATACAACTGGCCATTTGAAAAATAATCTGCCAATGACAACAATAATAATACATTCAAATAGTAACTTATTTGTCACACATAAATATATAGATCAAGAAATAAATATTTCCAATCGCTTTGAATCTAAATGACAATTCCATCAATATAATAACATAACTGTTGAAGATGAACAAAGTATAATAACTGACCTTCTCGAGTGGTACGGCCGCCACTAACGAACAGAACAGAAAGAAGATGTAGTACATTTTCAGGTTGTTAGTTGTTGTCCAGTGAGCAATTCCTTGCAGATAGTTGAGTACTTGGGGGAAGCGTTCAACATCATGACATGGGACGTGGTTTTATACCGTAAGATGGAACAAAACGTGTTAATAAATAATTTTATCGAAACTAATTGTGTTTCACACCGTATCGCTACGTCACGCCGCCAAGGTGATATCAGCGTGAGGTAACACTAGGAGAGTCTTGCTCGTCCCCACTGGTACAGACACCTGTCGTGACAGCGTTCAGACACCTGTGTGACTGTGTACGTGTACACTATTATGACTGCATGTTTCAAACGGGAACCATGAACGGCCCATGAACAGAATGCCATGTTTAGTCCAATTGGTTTCGATGTTAGATTCACTGGAGATCTTGTTTCTGGCACGAGTGTCCAACGTTTCTATTAATTCTTAATATGATTGACTGCTGTTTGTATGTCTGTCAGGGACTTTATCTGTGTCCTATACAATATAATAGATATAGCTTGGTTTCTAGGCTACAGTGAACCCCACAAAGATTATTTGATGACCCATCAGCCACATTAAATTTATACTTGTCTATCTCTAGGCAAAACAGGAAAATATTCTTCACCCCCCACCCCCAAAAGTTATTGCATTTTGAATACATCGTTATAGTGATTTTCAAGATGCCATAAACTTATAAGTAAGTGAACTGATGAAGGTAACCCTTTTTAGGAAGTAGAAATGAACTTTTACTGCCGCTGGCCTGGCAGAGTTTGGCCTGATTGCACTAAGCCAATATTGTTTTACGGTATACGGTCATGACATCAATGCCAATGAAAATATGAACATGAGTTAGTCTAGATGACCCAAATGCCAATGAAAATATGAACATGAGTTAGTCTAGATGACCCAAATGCCAATGAAAATATGAACATGAGTTAGTCTAGATGACCCTAATGCCAATGAAAATATGAACATGAATTAGTCTAGATGACCCTAATGCCAATGAAAATATGAACATGAGTTAGTCTAGATGACCCTAATGCCAATGCAATATGAACATGAGTTAGTCTAGATGACCCTAATGCCAATGAAAATATGAACATGAGTTAGTCTAGATGACCCTAATGCTAATGAAAATATAAACATAAGTTAGTCTAGATGACCCTAATGCCAATGAAAATATGAACATGAGTTAGTCTAGATGACCCTAATGCCAATGAAAATATGAACATGAGTTAGTCTAGATGACCCTAATGCCAATGAAAATATGAACATGAGTTAGTCTAGATGACCCTAATGCCAATGAAAATATGAACATGAGTTAGTCTAGATGACCCTAATGCCAATGAAAATATGAACATGAGTTAGTCTAGATGACCCTAATGCCAATGAAAATATGAACATGATTTAGTCTAGATGACCATAATGCCAATGCAATTATGAACATAAGTTAGTCTAGATGACCCTATGTCAATATCTAGACGAAAAAATGCCCCTCAAATTCGAGTGCTACCAAACAAAGCCATTTTTTTCCAAGTTACAGAGACCAACTGGGAGGCCTATTTTATCACTGAAAAAAATGTAAAGCTTTGGTAGTCTAATGTCGTTATATTTTTGTAGCTTCACAAATTCCTTTCATACATTATTGAACACTTTTTAAGCGCCCATAACGAAAGGAGATGGATATGTGGTGTAAAACATTGAGTAACAAGGTATTAGAATATGTGGAGCAATGTCTCAATAACAAGGTATTAGAATTTGTGGAGCAATGTCTTGAGTAAAAATCCATTAGACTTTATGCAGCTGTGCAAATCTTTAAAACATTTCAATTTGGGTGTGCAAACAAGAAGAAATAAATTTCATAACAAGGCTTTAAACCGGAGTTAACATGCTTCCCAGAGTTAGATTTTACCCAGAGTTTTTCGCCCACTCCTGTTTTTTTCGCCCACTCCTATTTAGTTCGCCCCTTTTTTAGGTAGGATATATGCATATATATAATATATTATGTAAATTTAATTTATACTTATTTAATTGTTGTTTTTTTTGTTGTACTGATGGGGGCATGGTCCGAAACGTATGCTTGGGATTATGTAAAATTATTATTAAAGCTTCCTTATAGTGTTATATTGACACAAATTGTTCGTGTCTTATTAATCTACCCAGAGTAACATGCTACCCGTAGTTAACATGCTACCCGTAGTTAACATGCTACCCGTAGTTAACATGCTACCCGTAGTTAACATGCTATGAGTAGTTAACATGCTACCAAGAGTAACATGCTACCCGTAGTTAACATGCTACCCTTAGTTAACATGCTACCCGTAGTTAACATGCTATCCGTAGTTAACATTCTACCCGTAGTTAACATGCTAGCTGTAGTTAACATGCTACCAAGAGTTAACATGCTACCCGTAGTTAACATGCTACCCTTAGTTAACATGCTACCCGTAGTTAACATGCTATCCGTAGTTAACATGCTACCCGTAGTTAACATGCTAGCTGTAGTTAACATGCTACCAAGAGTTAACATGCTACCCGTAGTTAACATGCTACCCTGTGTAAACACGCTACCCGTTGTAAACGTGCTACCTCTGTGTTATCCTGCTACCACGTTAAGAGATTGAAAACGATGACAGCAGATCGTGACAATGTTCTGACATAAATCTTGTCAAGAGAGCTGTGAAGATGCTGAAAGTGTGTTCGTTGACATTCTCCATTACATTTAGAAATAGATGACGTTACATACTACAGTTTAGGTCATGTTTTCTCCACTCTGTCAGAAATGTTTAGGTTATTCTAATTGATCAGGACAGGGGGGAAAATGTATGCGACCAGTTTCATGTGAGCCATGTACCACTATGTTGATGATAAGATACAGAAAACTTCGTCAAAGATGGTAGAATCCTCCTGTGTAAGAAATGCTCTTGGATTCATTCGTTTTTGTTTGTCAATTTTTATATTAATCTTTAGAATGTTTAAACAAAGTTAGCAGAAGTGTTTAAACGAAGTTAACAGCATTGTTCAAGCGAAGTTAAGAGAAGTGTTTAAACAAAGTTGACAGAGGTGTTTAGACGACGTTAACAGAAGTGTTAAAACAAAGTTAGCGGACGCGTTTAAACAAAGTTGGACTCTGCATTTTTATCACTAGGTTCTTGACAATATTTTTGGGTGATTTCGAAACATAATTTCCCTCAAACATTCTACCCACAAATTTATTTCTCTCCAGCATTCTACCCAAACCTCGATTATTCTCCAAAATTCTACCCAACATCTATTTCTCTCCAAAATTCTACCAACATCTATTTCTCTCCAACATTATGTGGCCTTCTAGAAACGGTCTAGGTGTGCCATGTATCATCATCATCATCATGTCCCTTAGTCCTTGGACCGTTGGGGCGCCACAGATCACATGTAAACTATACTCCACCATTCTTCTGCACTACGCACAGCATCGCCCAGTGTTAGTCCTGTCCACGCTTTGATGTTATCCTCCCATCTTTTTCTTTGTCTTCCTCTTCTTCTCCCTCGTCTCGTGGTGCCCTGCAATATTTCTTTGGCAAGCCCTGGTTTCCTTGTTACGTGCCATATATGATAAAGTTAAAAGTCGTGGCACATTTATATAACACATGAATGCTGCCTTGGGTCGGACGCACATTTATGTTTTAAAACACGGCAAATTTTTATTAATTTATTAAAATCATTGAATTGAGAATAATAGAACTGCATCATTTTTCAGTCACAATCCTTTTGTTGGGAACTTTTGGTTTATCCATTTAGAAAAGTAAAAGGGAAAATATTTCATGACTTCTATAGAATCATTGATAATTGCCCTTTACTCACATCAGTTTTGTGACAAAAATGGACAGTACATCACGTTTTATTGCCTTAAATAGATATTCTTTCTAGAGGAATTTGACATTGTGAACAAAAAATTGAGATAACTTTAATTTTCACTGATTTCATAGATGCCCTTGATGAAAACCTGTTGTCGCTGATGTGTCCTGATGTAACTGGTGTGTTCAGATGTCACTGGTGTGTCCTGATGTCACTGGTGTGTCCTGATGTCACTGGTGTGTCCTGATGCCACTGTGTGTCCTGATGTCACTGATGTCACTGGTGTGTCCTGATGTCACTGGTGTGTCCTGATTTCACTGATGTGTTATGTTGTCACTGATTTTTCGTGGCGTCTCTACTTTGATTTCCTGATTTCATAATTCGTCGTCTTCATACCAGCCTTCTCGTACTCATATCTAAGTCATAAACCCCAACTTTACGATCGTTACCGTAGTTACCATCATAATCATATGAGACTTGTTTGATAGTTTTTAGAGATTCTATAGCTACTATCTGAGACTTATTTGATAGTTTTAGAGATTCTGTAGCTACTATATGAGACATTGATAGTTTTAGAGATTCTATAGCTACTATAGGAGACTTTTTTGGTTGTTTTAGATAATCTATAGCTACTGCATGAAAATTGTTTGATAGTTTTAGAGATTCTACATCTTTGAGACATGTTTGATAGTTTTAGAGATTCTATATGTATAAGATTGTTTTTATAGTTTTAGAGATTGTATATCTATGAAATTGTTTGATAGTTTTAGAGATTCTATAGCTACAATGTGAGACTTTTTTTTTGTAGTTTTAGAGATTCTATAGCTACAAGATGAAACTTGATGAAGTTTTAGAGATTCTACATCTATGAGACGTGTTTGGTAGTTTTAGAGTTACTATTGTAAAAATATATGTGTTACGTTTTCACTTTGTAATCAGTATACGCCATCATCAGAAACCATCCAGATGTCCAATCATTTGACGGCGTCATAATTAGATAGATATATAAGGTCCTCAGAAGTTACGTGACGGCCCTGAGTTTATTTTTTCTTTCCAGATTATTTTCATACATACTTGCTGGTACTAATATTTATAGCCTTCATATGAAGTTATTGCACATATGTATTTTAATAAACGCTATCTCTGTCTATACACATCAGGGGTCTCAAACTCAAATCATCCGGGGGCCGCAGGATGTAGAGTCTGAGTGAGACCTGGTCGCATCAAGTATTCCAC